TTCATCCCCGCGGCTTCTTTTTCCAAAGTTACTGTAAGTAACAGTATAAAGCAGCCACCCGCTTTTAATGTGCGGACCTCTTTACCACTGACTCTGAAAAGCCGGGCCTCTTTACCACCCTCTTCTACCGCTGCCCTCTCTCCCTCCGCTACCCTCTCTCCCTCCGCTGCCCTCTCTCCCTCCGCTGCCCTCTCTCCCTCTCTTCGCACCATCAGCCTGACCTCACATGTGACTTTTCTCTCCCTCCGGGTTTTTCTGTTGTGGATATTAACCACGTTTCATTTTAAAGCAGGTATTATTTGTTTGAAGCCTCCAAACACATTTAGTTTTAGCAAACAACAGCTGGACACGCGTTGTCGCTGCGTGACGTAAGCTGCGTAACTTGATTTTGATTGACGCTGTCAATGACTGGACAAAATTACAAACGTAATTTAAATATTTTATATTCTCCTAACACAATTTAACAAGTAGTCCTTTTGAATCAAATCAAATGCTAAATCAATATTTAAGGGCTAGCTAAATGTTTTTTTTTTTTTTTTTTTTTTTTTTTTGGAAATCATCTTGCGACCCCCCCCAGGGGTTCCCGCGACCCCCCGGGGGGTCGGGACCCCCGCTTTGGGAACCACTGTCCTAAGGGATATGATTGGAAGATATGTTTTTGTGTACATTGATGATATTTTGATTTTTTCTAAGGACCTTGAGACCCACGAGATCCACGTCCGTAAGGTGCTCCAAAGACTTTTGAAGAACAAGCTTTTTGTCAAGGCTGAAAAGTGTCAGTTCCATGTTTCTTCTGTCTCATTTTTAGGGTTCATTATCGCTCAAGGCCAAGTCCAGATGGACCCTGAGAAGCTAACTGCAGTCCGGGAATGGCCAACCCCCGCCAGTCGTAAAGACGTGCAACGCTTCCTGGGATTTGCTAATTTCTACAGGAGGTTCATTCGCAGTTTCAGCCGCATTGCTGCCCCTCTGACTGCGCATACCTCTACTTCCACCCCTTTTTCATGGACATCTGAGGCCGAATCGGCATTCAAAGAGTTAAAGCACCGCTTCACCTCTGCCCCTGTACTCATCCAGCCCGATCCTGAGTTACAGTTTGTGGTGGAGGTTGACGCCTCTGATTCGGGGGTCGGTGCAGTGCTCTCTCAACGGTCTCCTATCAATCATAAGTTGCACCCTTGTGCTTATTTTTCTCGCAAGCTTTCATCCGCAGAGAGAAACGATGACATCGGCAACTGTGAGCTTCTGGCTATCAAACTCGCTCTGGAAGAGTGGCGTCACTGGCTCGAGGGTGCAGTTCATCCCTTCGTTGTTTGGTCAGATCACAAGAACTTGACATACATCCAGACTGCCAAGCGTCTGAACTCCAGGCAAGCCAGGTGGGCCCTTTTTTTTGATCGTTTTGATTTTTCTCTGACTTTTCGCCCTGGTTCTAAGAATATGAAACCTGATGCCTTGTCTCGAGTTTTTTGTGCAGATTCCACAACTCCGGTTTGTGACCCCATTCTGCCCCCCTCCCGCATTGTGGCATCTGTTACATGGAAAGTTGAGTCACAAGTCCGACTTGCTCAACGGACTCATCCTGATCCTGGCACGGGCCCCCCTGGCTCTTTGTTCGTTCCTGACTCTGTCCGTTCTGACGTTCTCCAATGGGCACACTGCACCCGTCTCACATGCCACCCTGGAATTAATCGCACTCTGGCTGTTTTGAGACAAAAATGTTGGTGGCCTACCATGGAAAAAGATACACAAGACTTTGTTTCTGCTTGTTCAGTGTGCTCTATGAATAAGACTTCCAAAAGGCCCCCGTCTGGTTTTTTGCGTCCTCTTCCCATCCCCAGCCGTCCCTGGTCACACATTGCTCTGGATTTTGTTACGGGTCTCCCGCCCTCCGATGGTCATACAGTTGTACTCACCATCGTTGACAGGTTTTCTAAGTCTGCTCATTTTGTTCCCCTCCCAAAGCTCCCGTCCTCTAAAGAAACTGCGGATTTGTTGGTGAACCATGTATTCCGGCTGCATGGCATACCCACTGACATTGTTTCTGACAGGGGTCCTCAGTTCACTGCCCAGGTATGGAGGGCTTTCTGTTCTGCGTTGGATATTAACGTAAGCCTCTCCTCTGGATATCACCCTCAGACAAATGGACAGACTGAACGAGCGAACCAGCAAATGGAGGTAGCCCTGCGGTGTGTTTCCTCTACGTGCCCTTCCAGTTGGAGCTCCCATCTCCCCTGGGTAGAGTATGCCCACAACACTCTGCAGAATTCCTCCTTGGGTATGTCTCCTTTCGAGTGTTGTTACGGCTATCAACCACCCCTCTTTACAGACCAGGAGCAGGAGTCGGCAGTACCCTCTGTACAGGATCACGTTTGCCGCTGCCACAGGACATGGACCAAGGCCCGGTTGGCCCTGGTGCGTGCCTCTGCCAGGTCTCAAACCCAAGACAATCGTCGTCGGACCCCAGCCCCTGTGTATGTAGCTGGACAGGAGGTGTGGCTGTCAAATAAGGACCTCCCGCTAAAGGTGGACTCGAAGAAGCTGTCTCCACGGTTCATTGGGCCCTTCAAGGTGGAGGCAGTGGTTAACCCTTCTGCGGTGCGCCTTCAGCTGCCCTCATCCTTGAAGATACACCCTACTTTCCATGTCTCCTTGATCAAGCCTGTCCTGTCAAGTCACTTGTTTCTTCCCTGTCCGCCCCCTCCTCCTCCCAGGTTGGTGGATGACCACCCTGCTTTCACGGTGCGTCGGATTCTGGATGTTAGGCGCCGGGGTCGGTGCCTGCAGTTCTTGGTGGACTAGGCGGGTTATGGGCCGGAGGAGCGGTGTTGGGTTCCTCGTCGGAATATCTTGGACCCTTCCTTGATTCGGGATTTCTATTCACTTCACCCGGAGAAGCGTCCGCCTGGGGGCGTCCGTAGGGGGAGGGGTACTGTCAGGGCTGCTCCTCCAGCAGCCCCTCCCTCCCCTGATACTCCAGGAGTCTCTGCCTCAACCCCCTCCCCTACCTGTTCCCTGAGTAGGGACAGGTGTGTTGGAGATGCCTCGGACTCTGCCCAGCTGCCTCCACTCTTCAATCAAGTGGATACAAGTACCTCTAAAGCCAGCTCCTCAGTGCCAGATCGTAATCTCAGTTACAGTGCGTCTAGCCTACTTACCTTGTTACTCTGTGAAGATATATTTTTTACTTACCTCCTTGTTTTGTCGTTTCTGCAGTTCTCCGCTCTGCCATGCCCGACCCCAGTCCTGATCCTGTTCTGGTTTCCTCCCGTGCCTTGTGATTTGTTTTTTTGTATCTTTGCTCAAGTAAAGATTTGTGTTGCAGACGCCCTGGTCTGCATCTGGGTTCTTTGCCACCACGTTACACTGTGAGTGTGCCCATACCAGTGGGGGCGGGTCCCGGCTCAAAAGTGGCCAAAATGACGTGCGCTGATATGCTTGCAATACCACCCCGGGCCGATGGTGGTGGACCCAGAAGTAGAATTAGCCAATGCTAACATATAGCATTGGCAGACCTCTCGAAAACGTCTTTACAGGATGGTCCAAAAGCGGCCCATAGCTCCGTTCCACATGTGTGTCAATGCTGAGGGGGGTGAATTTTCCAACTACAAGCCCAAAGCCCCCCCCTGTGCTGACGACCACAAGCTAGCTGACGAACTGAACTTATTTTTCAGTCGCTTTGATGCTGCCCCTGACACCTCCCCCACCCCCCACTGCTCTAACAACCCACCCATCAGCCCTGCCCCCTGCCTGACAAACGACTACAGACCTGTAGCACTTATGTCTGTCGTCATGAAGTCATTTGAACTCCTGGTCCTCTCCCATCTCAAGTCCCTCACCTCCCCCCTCCTGGACCCCCTGCACTTCGCCTACAGAGCCAACAGATCTGTAGACGACGCCATTAACCTGGCCCTCCACCACATCCTACAGCACCTGGACTCCCCGGGGACCTATGCCAGTGTCCTGTTCGTTGACTTCAGGCAGGAGACTGCGGTCCATCAAGACTAGAACCTCCCGCCACAAGAACAGTTTCTTCCCCTCTGCTGTTGGACTCTTGAACACTTCTTAACCTGTCTCCCCGCTCTTTATAAAGTCACTTTACTGCCCATCATACGTCACTTTACTTCACTGTAATGCTGTCACCCTACATTGTGTGCACCATGTGCACTTGTATATTGTAAATAGTATCTATAACCCTATTTTAAATTTTAATTTATTCCTTAGAAGTGTTTTTTATTCTTTATTTTTTATTATCTCTTTCTGACTGTTGCACTGAGCCAAAGCAATTTCCAAGTCTGTGACTTCCTGTTACTTACGTGGCAATAAAAATTATTCTGATTCTGATTTTTTTGGACCACTCTAGTTTACTTGCTGTGAATTTTTGAAGTCTTTCGTTCAAATGAATGAAGCTCTCGCCAGCTGACGCATGCGCAGATGCGTTTTTTCACAATTTTCTTGTGGGCGGGACCGCTTGCGGCCATTTTGGATAGCTCCAGTAGAGCACATGTTTTGGCCCATTAGTTAGAACGGCGGAGATAGTCCGTTAATATATACAGTCTATGGTCCATACAGTCTCCATTGGATAACATAGGAACTTCACACCTGTCTATGAAAATGACCACAATTTGGGAGTCTGTCACGCGCCGACCGTTTAACTAATTCAAATTCTGTGAGCAACTATTGATGGTACATGTGTTGAGATGATGTGGAGTGATTTTCAGCCAAATTAGTGAAACGGCCTCGGCTGTTTTGATGTTTGAGCGAGGTGTACATTCTCCACTCTCAGAACGAGGGGCAGCGCTGTTACAAACAGGCTTCCTCCTCAAGCGTCTGCAGCGCTGGTAAACACAGCAGCATGGCAGGAGAAAGTGGCTATACCTCCTGTCTGTAACTGCATACACAGCAACACAAAATCTTTGACCAGTTTCTTTGAGATGTCCTCTGAGATGACTGCTGTTGTGATTTAGGGCTATACATGAATAAATTGTATTGTATTGTACCTCCCGAGCTCTTCTCCAATCTCGTAGAAGTCCTCCACTTTGAGTTGTTTGAAATCTGGCATTTTTTCTTTTATCTGCACAAAACAAATGTTTTAACCAACACCTGATTCATGCTCCATGTTTCTTTGCAATGGCTTTAAATTAGCAATTTGGTTAACACAAAAAACACAATATAACACATTGAACACTTATAAGATTGAAAAGGCTATCTTAAGGACGAAACAATGATACTATGAATTGGGAGCAAAAGCACATAGTTTATTTGCATGGCAATTAAAAGTTGAGGAAAGTAGCAGAACCATCAATGCACTTCATAATCCAACAGCGATAAATTAACTGACTAAGATTGGTGAAGAGGACCAACAAAGCCTGGATACCCCATTCACCCAAACAGAATTTGCTAAAACTTTAAATTCCTTTCAGTCTAATAAAGCCCCTGGAGAGGACTTACTCATCCCACTGTTTATGGATGTAACACAATTAGCATTGAAAGCACATGCACTAAAAAAGAATAAAGAGCCAATAAAATGTTCCTCCTATTGGCCTATTTCAAGCTGGAATGGCCGTACTTATTTTAGGTAATGGAGAAATTTGGTTTTGGACAATATTTTATTGACTGAGTGAAGACTCTGTACTATAATCCCAGAACCAGGAACCAACTCATGCAAAAGAAGATGGCTGACATGTTGACCGAAATCACCATCGGGTTACAGTCCTGCCTGGCTCTGGGGCGGCTGATTGATACAAAAAGTGCGGCCCCAGAAATGATCTCTATGCTGAAGAGGAATAGTTGTGGGAAAGCTCTGGACATTGCAAGACAAGCCAGGGACATGTTGGGAGGAAATCCCAAAGCCAGAATTATAACCAATGGACTAATTATTGCTTGCATTCACCTAGTCTGTGTGTTCACCTGTGCTGTGAAATGTAACAACCCATTGACTTGAGAGAACTGATCTAAACATAACATAACATAATAAATCAAAGTAACCTATGTCTGTCTATGCCTCTTAACTATGATTTTACGAACCTGTGCGCCCTTAGAGCTCTTTTTATTTTATTTTGGGCACTCTGCCCTGGCGTTGCTGGTTTTTCTTTCTTTTATTTAATTGTATATTTTATTTTAGGAGCGCGTAAGGAGCGCGTAAGTCTTGCCACACTTGGCGTTCGTTGGCAGGAAAATCATTAAAATGAGGCATAGTGTATTCTGTTCATTGGTATGGCTAGTTTCAGTAGCATAGGCTTTTTGTGACTTAGCATAGGCTTATGTGACTTAAAACCTGTCATTATTTTGTCTTGTGTTTATTTTTGTTTGTTTTGATGTGCACTTTTTGTGTGTTGTGTGCTTTTGATTTGTGCATTGTTTTAAATTTAAACACAGCCATAATATATGACATGGATAAATCCCTCACATGTGAACTTCTGCTAAGCTGTCTATTGCTGTCATATGTCTGACTAGACTGTTATACAATAATTCTGTATTTTATTTTTGTGAAGGGGAGAAGCAGCGGTGGTTGGAGCAGTAGTTGCGGAGAGATGAGATGGGAGTTCAGATGGTCACCTACGAAGCCTAGTGGAACCTGTAACTTTTGTCCCTGTGGTGTGATCCCGGACTCCGGTGTAGTGAGATGAAGGATGCCTCACATAGCGTTGAAGGCGCATCCGTTGTTCACCTCTGTGGTCAGGAGTACTTTTGTGTGCAACAGGTAGGCTTGTGTAGAGAATGTTGCAGAGGACTTCCTAAGCCTTCAGGGCCTCCTTTTCTGGCCTCTGGTTATCAGTAATAGAGACTGATTTGTTTTTAAGTGTGTTTTAAGCTTAGCGCTGCAGGGTCTTGTTGTGGCTCAAACCCACGTAGACCAGCTTTTGGGGTCTTGTAGTGGCTCAAACCCACCTAGGCCCGTTTTTAGCTTTTAGATGTGTGTGTCATGAACGTTCATGTATGTAGTATGAGTGATAGCGCTATGTTTGAGTTGTGTGTGAGTTTAGTTGACGTCGGGGCGTCGTCAAAACTTTGGGGGGAAGAATGTGGCAAGCTGGACTTGGCCACTATATTTCCGTCCAGTAGAGGGCGTAGACTGACAGTATAAATAGCCTCAAGTCGCCTCTTTTGTTTACCTCTGCACTTCCGTCTCCTGTGGGTCGTTGCGCCAGCCCTTCTCCTGCTCCATTGTGCCCCGCGAACCCTGCTTCTATGTAGCCATGCTGTCCTGTCACTTTGGCGTCCGGCCACCCTCGTTGCTGGGGTCCGAGCATGTTGTAGCCTCTGCCTGAATTCGTTTGGAAGCGGACCGAGACACCTAAAAAAGTGGGTCTCGGTTCGGTTCTTTTGTCCGGACCAGGATTCATTTGTGTGTATTCAGACCGGCATAAAAGTTCCGAATCAGAGTTCCAAACGAATCCTGGTCCGTTTAAAGTGGAGCAAATGTGCAGGTCTGAATACACCCTCACATTCCTTCTGACGCTCCATCTTTCGTGTGTGGAATGCCCTCCCTGTTTCCCCTATGTATGATTTTGGACATGACTTGCATTGTATTTCGTATATTGTGTTGCATTTTTGATCTGGTGGTATAAAGTCCTTTGGGTATACTAACTGTTGTTTATTGTTGTTAACCATACAAAGTTTATTGTATGGTTTGACTGCTGTACCGATATTGTATTTGCTCATGGCTCTTTGAATGGGTTCTGTTATGTCTCTGATGTAAGGTAATGTAACTGTGTTGCCGTGCTCCTGCTGCTCTCTGGTGGTGGTGGTCGGTTTTTTCTTGTGTTTTGTCTTTTACCTGTTGTCTCCCTTTAGCTATGGCTCAATTCGGGTACTGGCATTCTTTGAGTGCTTGCACGATGTGTCTTTCCTCCTCTTCTCTGTCCAGGACAGAGAGGAGGAGGAAGTAACATCAGCTGACAAATGACACGTCACCAAGGCAGGTGACAGTTTTGAAGATGGCTCGCAGTTCTGCAGCCGAAACATGTTAACAAGGTAATACATCTAAACTAGCCTGGTCGTACCACACCATAGTACAAACTACATTTCGTACTAAGGTCTGGAGGTGCTCCATTGAGCTTCGTTTACAGGTGGGAGGGGTTAACTCCTTTTGCAGAATGAAACGATTGGATCTGAGTTTATCGTGACGTTTGTAGTGCGCTCTGTCGTTAGCATTTAGCATTTAGCCTAGCCGTCTCCTTTGCCACTAACGAAGCCCGTGGGGAGTAGCGCCTCAATTTTTTCCAGCGATACCATTTGCTAAACATTACTCTTGCTCCGGCTTCAATTTCTTGATAGAACCAGACCGGATTACTTTACTATCGCTATGACCTTCCCGTTCGACGCAAACTCTTGACAACAACTTGCCTTCCGCGCTCTCTGAAAGGTCGGTCGAAATTCAACCGATTGTAATCGCTAACATAGGGACAAGACCCTGACGTTACATGCAGTGAAATGATGATTGAGCGGAGTGTACGGATGGCTAAGGCCAGGCTACATCTAAACTTGTCTTTCAAAAGAACAAAAAAATCAACCTACATTGTTTTTGCTCAAGAGATGTTGGAAAAAAAATCTTCTTATTAGGCCCGAGCCTCGACTAGGTTACGGGCCTATTGCTTTCACAATGGTGAATGCAAGGGGTCGTGGTGCGTGACGGACGCATCAGTGCCCGTCACTAACCAAAAATGTGTGTAAAATAATGTATCAGGTGCCATTAAAACCTATATTGTTTTTTCTCTGAGACTTTCGAAAGATAAATAGACCAGTGACGTCGCCCGGCATGGCGCAGCCGGGGCCCCACCCTGGAGCCAGGCCTGTGGTCGGGGCTCGTATGTGAGCGCCTGGTGGCCGGGCCTTAGCCCACAGGGCCCGGCCGGGCTCAGCCCGAAGGGATGACGTGGGCAGTCCCTCCTGTGGGCCCACCACCTGCAGAAGGGTCCGTGGTGGCGCGGTGCTGAGAGGACTGGGCGGCAGTCGAAGGCGGAGACATCGGCGACCCAGTCCGCACACACAACATCTGGCTCTTGGGACGTGGAACGTCACCTCACTGGGGGGTAAGGAGCCCGAGCTCGTGGGGGAGGTTGAGCGATACCGACTAGAGATAGTCGGCCTCAGCTCCACACACAGCTTGGGCTCTGGAACCCAACTCTTTGAGAGGGGTTGGACGCTCCACTTTTCTGGAGTTTCCCGTGGGGAGAGGCGGCAAGCTGGGGTGGCCCTTCTCATTGCCCCCCATCTCAGCCGCCACGTGTTGGAGTTCTCCCCGGTGAATGAGAGGGTCGCGTCCCTCCGCCTCCGGGTGGGGGACAAGTCTCTCATTGTTGTGACGGCCTACGGGCCTAACAGCAGTGCAGAGTACCCGGCCTTCTTGGAGTCCTTGGGAGGGGTACTGGACGGTGCACCGCCCGGGGACTCCGTTATTCTCCTGGGGGACTTCAACGCCCATGTGGGAAACGCCAGTGACACTTGGAGAGGGGTGATCGGGAAGAACGGCCCCCCTGATCTGAACCCGAGCGGTGTTCAGTTGTTGGACTTCTGTGCCAGTCACAGTTTGTCCATCACGAACACCATGTTCGAGCACAAGGGTGTCCACCAGTGCACGTGGCACCAGGACACCCTAGGCCGGAGGTCGATGATCGACTTTGTTGTCGTATCATCTGACCTTCGACCGCGTGTCTCGGACACTCGGGTAAAGAGAGGGGCGGAGCTGTCAACCGATCATCACCTGGTCGTGAGTTGGATCCGCTGGCAGGGGAAGAAGCCGGTCAGACCTGGCAGACCCAAGCGTATAGTGAGGGTCTGCTGGGAACGTCTCGCTGAGCCCCCTGTCAGACGGACTTTCAACTCACACCTCCGGGAGAGTTTTCTCCCAGGTCCCGGCGGAGGAGGGGGACATGGAGTCCGAGTGGACCATGTTCTCTGCCTCAATCGCCGATGCGGCGGCTCGTAGCTGTGGTCGCAAGGTCTCTGGTGCTGGTCCCGGCGGCAACCCCCGAACCCGGTGGTGGACACCGGCAGTAAGGGATGCTGTCAGGCTGAAGAAGGAGTCCTATCGAGCCATGATGGTTCGGGGGACTCCTG